TTTTTTTTTTTTTTTTGTTTTTTCTATGAAGTTTGATGATGACTTATGAATGCATTTGCTACATCTCTTTGAATTCTTTTGCCTCTCAAAAATTTCAGTACATGTTATTTTCTTCTCACAAGTAAGTAAATATGCCCTGAGTTCAGGTTTTATTTTTTGCTGCTAAGTGAAGGATTTGATTCTGTTTCTTTGTTTCTCAGCAGTATGAAGGAGGGAAAGAGGATAAGGGAGAGTTTTGGAGTCGATTACGGGGCTGCAGTTCCGTTTATTTTTTTATTTCATCTTTTTCTTTGGCAGTTGCTGCCCAGCAACGGAGTGCTTCAGAACCCCCGCTAGTCTGCGTTTTTATTTCTCACTATTATTACTACTATTATTTTTGTTTTTACCATGGCCATTATTATTATTATTATCGTTATTATTATTATTAAATTATTAAATTATTATTATTATTGTTCTTATTGTCTTCATTACTGTATTTAGAATTTTAATAATAATTATTGCTGTTTGCTACTTTTTATTCTTATTGCTCCTAATATTATGATTATTGGCATTACTGTCATTGTTATGATTGCTCTATCGCTAGCTTAGTGTTTAGTAGCAGATTTTTTCTTGTGTGAAATGCCTAAAGGAGTTGCTGTTGCTAATGACGACGACGTAGTGGGTGCTGGAGGAAAGAATGGACAAGAAGAAGACCGAAGAGAAGGAGAGGAAAGTTCTGGTTATTTAGCAGCTGCGGTCTGTTGCTTAAGGCTCGAGTGCAGGTGGCGTCATTTTGTGTATTTTCCGTGAAAAAAGGCGAGGGAAGATAGCATTTTAGACATTGTGTAAAATCTCATTTCATTCTTAGCCTCTAATTACGTTTTTTGCCTGCTAAACGGTTTTTTAACAATTCAAAATTTTTGGGGTGAGAAAAGGAATAAGAAGTTCAAAGTAACTAAGGGCCAGAGCTAAAATAGAGGAATTGATAGCGAAGATGATATAAATTTTTTCTTGTTATGTGTTTAGAGTTTGCCATGGGGCATGTTCCTCCCTTTCTTTTCCCTACTTGTATTGATGGTTTTGTAAAAACGGCCTTTTTTTGTTGCAGATTTTTGTTATTGCAGGATTTTTTTTATCATTTCGTTTAGTTATGGCACTGTTCTGCGGTAACACAGTAGGCATAATTTATTGCATTTTTTCAATCTTTTTTTCACCGATGTTTTTCCTCTTTTGCCCTTTTCATGTTTTTATTTTCTGTTCTTTCCTATTTTGTTAGATTTGGGAGGTCACCTTTAATCCAAGGGCAGAAAAGTGTAGGAACTTGTACTGTTGTACGGAGAATGACATTCGGGAAGGGGAGGGCGAAGGGGGGAGTTAAAAGAAATGCTAGTTGTAGTCAGGTAAAGGAGGACGGGAGGTAAAGAAAAGTTAATGTTTCATTTGCAACTGGCTTTGAGTTTATTATTATTTTCTCTTATTATTATTATTATTATTATTATTATTATTATTATTATATTATTATTATTATTATTATTATTATTATTATTATTATATTATTATTATTATTATTATTATTATTATTATTATTATTGTTTATTATTATTATTATTATTATTATTATTATTATTGCTATCATTATTATTACTGTTGTTATTATTGTTATTATTATTATTATCATTCTTATTCTTATTGCTGTAATATTATGTTCTCTACTAAAATATTTCTTTTGGTGGTCTTTTCATTTGAATTCGCCATTTTTATGTCATATGTATTCATTGGCCCTAAATTTGCTTCAATCTTGAAGAATTCTGTGACAGATGTGTTTATCTCAACTAAAAGTTTAGTTTTTTTTTAAAAATTTTTATTATTATTACTGTTATTACTATAATAATTATTATTATTACTATTGCTGTTAATATTATTATTATTATTATTATTATTATTTTGCTTTTATTATTATTGTTATTATTATTAATGTTAATATTAATATTATTATTATTATTTTTATTTTTATTATTATGACTGTAATTTTGGTTACGATTATTCTAATTATTACGACTATTATTATTAATCTGAAAGTCTTTGTTTTAGTGTTTTTACTGTGAAGCTTTTTCCTTGTTTTTCTCTCATCTTT